GGCGGGGCGGGGGGGTGGGGGGGGGGGAATTAAGTGCCCTGCTCATTTATGAAGGTATATGTTCTCTGTATGGAGTGTTTGCTTTTTTCCCTCCTGACAGCCTTTTCAACAATATCTATGTTACTGTGATGGTTTCTGACCACAAATCAGGAATCTATTGAAAAGTTAAAGTTATGGACCCTGTGGGTTTGATTCAGATATTTTCCTTTCATTCAGTCGTCTTTATTATTATTATTATTATTATTATTTTTAAATAATGTCCCTTAACCACTTGCCATTGTAAGTAATTCTGGCAGTTAACTGTGAAGTGTGTAATTTGAAAGAAAATCGTCGCAGTAATTCTAACCAGTTTGTTTTTTGCCACAGTATTAACACGGTATGAAGGAGCTAATGACTTCTTTCTATTTACACAGTATTCTTTAGAATAATTTTATATGGCTTATAAGGGTTGGTATTTTGTATTTTATAGATATTTCACTGGCATTTAGGGAATTAGGCATTTCTAGCACTGCATTTTGTGAGGCAATTATTGACAGTTGTGTAGTATTACAAGAAATTACCGTACTATAGGCGTTCGTGTAGCTAATCGAGGGAAAGAATGAGGGAATAGGATGAGTGTTGCACAGATATATTTGAATAAGACACAACTGGCTCCTTGGGTCAGATAATGCAGATGTTAGTCGGTTTGCTTTTAGAAGTAAAGTATGGCTTTTAAAGTGAAAGGTTCTATTTACATTGTAATTACAAAGAAAACTGCACAAATATTTTGCTTGGTATTGACGCATTGTCACATTTTCTCCATGCATATTCTGTTTTTTTTGTTTTGTTCGTTACATGTCAAAAGGACCTCACTAATCGTAGTCGTTTAACTTTTGTTTGTATATTTGCTTTACATTACATAACATTTAAGTTCCATCCAGCACCTATCCTGTGAACATGTATTTAATTTGTATTTTTCTTATATAGAATTTTATTTTGAGATATAGCAATGCTAATGAAATCTTAAATGTTAATAAAGTATTTACTCCACATTTTGACTCTTCAGTGTGGTCTGTACTCAAATTAGTAAAATCAAATGCCCCATTTCCTGGTATTTACAGCCTTTGAATATGCTTCAATGTGTCTTAAAGGGGTCATATGATTTTGCTAAAAAGAACATTATTTGGTGTAATGAAATGTATTTATGCGGTTTAAGGTTAAAAAACAATTTTCCACATACTGTACATTATTGTTTCTCCTCTATGCCCCGCCTTTCCGAAACGCGTAGATTTTTACAAAGCTCATCGGTCTGAAAAAGCGAAGGGGTGCTGTGATTGGCCAGCTATCCAGTGTGTTGTGATTGGCCGAATTCCTCAAGCGTGTGACGGAAATGTTAGGTCCCTTATCATATTGTGATGCCTGCGGCAATCACATGTGACGACCCCGGGCTGGACTCCGCTTTGTCCACGGTGAAAGCCGATCCGGTGATCGACAGCACAAAGTTGAAGTATTTCCTCAGCAACCAGCACGGATCAGCTCCAGGCATGATGAAGCGATATCGTCCTCTTTTGGAAGGCCAAACACAGTTTCGCTTTCACAACGAAACACACAGCGCCTTCACGACATGGCTGCAGCGTCAACAATACTACAGCGAGAATAAAAGTTACGCCTTCTTTCTTTGTGTGAACATTTGGGCGGTGTTAAGCAAATCTTCCCAGATAGTGACATAGGTATGTGGGGGTGTGTTAGAACGAGCCGTTTTAGGTAGCCGTGGCTGACTCTTAACTGTTATAAAGAATATCTCTTTGGATTTGAGACTTTAGTCTTTGCAACTTTACAGATCTTCTTTATGCACCAAGAGATTGTAACACTCCAAAGAGAAAGGAAAAATTGAAATCGCATCATATGACCCCTTTAAAAGACATATGGGTACCAAAAAAAAAGTTCAGGAGAACCCAATGCTGAATTTCTCATTCTACAGAGCTAGTGACTAAACCTTGCACAAGCACTCTGTACAGTGCCAAGTAAAAGATGGCCATATATATATTTTTTCATTACTTTAATGCATCAAAGTAAACCAATTTTTAATTTCGTTATACAAGATTTAGCTGAACAGATTTTTAAAAATGTTGAAATATAAAGTCAAGTAGATTATACTTAAGGTCAGTTGCTGTCTGAAAGGTTTTAGTGTCAAGCATTTCATTTGAAATGCTAATTTTCTTGGTATCATGCTTGCACATGTAACAAACATTCAATAATACTCTTAAATTACACCGTAAAAAATCAGTTAAATCTCAACTTATTTAGCAATTCATGCACTTGCGTAGATGACATAACATGAACAAAGATTTTGTTCTAATGTATATGGGAATCTTGTATGTTTTAGATGCTATAAATTGTCAAGTTTTCTAATTTAATCACAAGTTTGTGTAAACTGTTGCCGTATTTAAAATGAATTGTTAATGGTACAAATAGTATTTCAATAAAGAAATCAGAAGACCGTAATGTAAAAAAGCTTTAAAAGGAAGTCTGGAACGCTGCTGTCATGACAGCGGCCCTTTTGTTTTATTAACCATTACGAGAAAATATGAGTCCTACATACAGCATGAATTTTAAATAGGTTTAACCGCAAAAGCCCTTTAAAGTGAAAATGCTTAAGACTTCTAAGTTCTGACCTGCAACTGAGTCTTGATCTTTTTTAAACATGACCACAACATCTTGAAAAATAGTACTCTTTTATTAAAGACTGCGAGGTGCTGATCACATTTAACCTACACAAACAAATATCAAGCAGTAGAAACATGACAAAGAATGTACAACAAATTAAAAGGATTTTTTCTGTTGTGAGAACATTATATATATTAAGGGCTACTGCATCATATCCTCTTCTTCCTCCTCATCCTCATCAAAGTAGCGCTCCTCGGCATCACGGCTTACAATATCCAGGTTATCATAATCTGGATTCTCATCCACTTCACTGTAATGAAAATATCAATGTTATTGTAATTAAGATATTATTTTAATAAGATATAAGGTTAAGAACTAAAATATGGGCAATTAACACTCTACAGTTCACAATAAATGGCATTATTAACAACTGATTTGAAGAGAAATACATCCTGGTAATGCAATATTTACAGTGGGTACGGAAAGTATTCAGACCCCCTTAAATTTTTCACTCTTTGTTATATTGCAGCCATTTGCTAAAACCATTTAAGTTAATTTTTTTTATCTCAATGTACACAATGACCCTAAGCACACAGCTAAAATAATGAAGGAGTGGCTTCACAACAACTCTGTGACTGTTCTTGAATGGCCCAGCCAGAGCCCTGACTTAAACCCAATTGAGCATCTCTGGAGAGACCTAAAAATGGCTGTCCACCAACGTTTACCATCCAACCTGACAGAACTGGAGAGGATCTGCAAGGAGGAATGGCAGAGGATCCCCAAATCCAGGTGTAAAAAACTTGTTGCATCTTTCCCAAAAAGACTCATGGCTGTATTAGATCAAAAGGGTGCTTCTACTAAATACTGAGTAAAGGGTCTGAATACTTAGGACCACGTGATATTTCTGCAAAAATGGTAACAATTCTGTGTTTTCTGTCAATATGGGGTGCTGTGTGTACATTAATGAGGAAAAAAATTAACAAATGATTTTAGCAAATGGCTGCAATATAACAGAGTGAAAAATTTAAGGGGGTCTGAATACTTTCCGTACCCACTGCATTTTTTATACTCCAAATTTGAGACCGATGTGAGCAAGTACTATGATCTGACTTGTAGTTGAAGTCATCCTTGCCATCCAGGAAGCGCTGATGCATTTGACTCAGGAACTCCTCACTCAGCATGGCTTTCTCTTCTGCATTCGGCTCCCACTCTGCCTGTCTGGGCTCATCACATTCTAAAACACATTCATCCATTAAAGAAATGAAATGGAATCTAAGTCATGAGTCAGTCAGTGAGATGATCTCAGACCTTCCTCCTCAGACTCCTCCGCTGCACACTGCTCTCTCTCCTGCTCCTCCTCCAGGCGGTTCTGGATCAGTTTCTCCTGGTAGGAGTTGATAAGCAGATCAGCGAGTCCCCCCGAGCCGCTCCTCATGGCCTCCTCTGAGCGCTGCAGGATCTCCTCTTCGCTGAGATACTGTCCGATGTACTGCTCGTACAGCAGTGGATCTCGCACGCGCATCTGCTCCTCGCTGAAGTACTGGCCCTCTGCCGAGAGATAAAGTTGCTGAGTAAGACAAAAGTATCAGAGTGCTATTCTTGCAAGTGGCAGAGGAGTTATTTTATGGATTTTCTGGCCTTGCTTTCTTAGTTTTATTAATAATTTTAAGTAACAAGGATACATTAAATCAAAAGTGAGATAATGTTAGATTTCTATTTCAGAAAATTGCTGTTCTTTAGAACTTTCTACTGATAAATTGATAATCATAAATGCTTCCTTAGCAGCAAATCAGCATGTTAGAATGATTTCTGAAGGATCATGTGACAGAAGACTGGAGTAAATGCTGCTGAAAATTCAGCTTTGCATCACAGGAATAAATTACATTTTAAAATATATTCAAATACAAAACAGTTATTTTAAAATAATATTTCACACTATTACTGTTCTTGTAATATTTTTGATCAAATAAATGCAGCCTTGGTGAGCATATGAGACTTCTTTCAACAACATTAAAACAAATCTTACAGACTCCTAACTTTTGAACAGTAGTATATATATTTTATATTACATTATTTTTACCAATTCTTTTTTTTTACTATAAATTAATCAAAATTTGAATGCATGTTGAAATGCATTTTGGGACTGCCGTTGATGCTGCTTTAGAATTTGGCCAAAATGAGGTTTCATTTCAACAGGAAGTATAATTGTGTAACTTTCTGGAACAGACTTCAAACAAGCTGTGTCTCATTTCGGAGGCTGCGTCCTCCGGAGGTCACATTTGTCAGTTGCATATATCATTGAGGTGGTCTCATTTAAGAAAAATAATAGTAATAAAATTGACTCTTATTCCTTGTGAGGTGTAAAATACTGTCATTTCTTTCTTTCTTTGCAATCTAACGGTTACTTTACTTAAGGAGACCACCTCAATGATGTATGCAGCCGACAAAATGCGATCTCCGAAAGATGCAATCTCCGAAATGAGACGCAGCCATGTTCTAACATTCAGAAAGTAGGCCTACTTATTCAATTTTCAGCAACTTGTGCCAATCTAATGAACAACAGTATGAATTATGCTGGTACATGGAAGTCTGTAAATAACTAAAATCAATTTTACATAAAAGCCTTGAATTTCAAGATTTTTTTTTTTAGAAACTCAGGTAACAACCTGATTTGAAAAACACCAGATTAAAATTCCAGCTGGTGTCTGAAAAAAAACCTGTGCTTACCCTTCTGAAGAGCACGGAGAGCTGCATAACGATGGTTACGGACCCTTTTCCGGTCGGCTGTGCTGGATTGCCGTCTCTGAATCTCCTTGCAGTAATACTGCACTCTGCAGTCACTGCTCAGGTGTGAGAAAGCCTCTGTGTGCTCTGGCTTCAGATGGGCCTGATAGCGCTCTAGAAATACCAAGGGCTTTGATTCGTACTGATCCATTAAAACCTTCTTCTTCTCCTCCAAAGTTAAGTCTGGCTCTCCCAGCTGCTGACTTTTCACTGGACTCCCACTGGCTGCTATAGCCTCTATCATTGAGCTGAGACAGCTGGATGGCTCATCCTGAGGAAAACAAGCAAGAGCCACATGGTTAGAATCATGTATCGAATTATACTGCACATATGAGCTGAACACCGGTGACACCTCACCTTTTGATTTGGAGAGCTGCTTGTTGTGTTAAGGGCTTCCTTGAGATCCGTCTCAGGAGGACATCTGTCTTGAGCAGCAGGTTCATTGCAGTTGTCAGATGTGTTAGGTTTAGTGCATGGCTCGATTTCTCCCCACAATGCTGTCTTCTGCTTTAGAGAGCAGTGTCAACAGAGATACAAGCGGTTAGTATCATTTGGTAATTGTACAAAATGACTAGATATTATCTACATCTACAGGGAAAAGCTAGCATTTTGTCTTTACCGTCACTTTTTTTTTGTGATGAAAGATTGATTTTAAGGAAGAGGTGGAGTTTAAGCAAACTAAATGACTGGAGAAGTCTTGATCACCAGAGAGACGTCTGTCATTTCACTGACATTTGGACTAAATATTACATTTGACTAAAAAAAATACACTTACATGGATGAATCATTCACAATAAGCATTATAACAAGCATTTAGAAACTAGTTTGGGTGAATTTCCATTTCATAACTTTACTTTCATTAGGCATGACTTTCATAAACCACTCTTCTGTAGATGGTGATGTGCTGAACACATCTCACCTGTACATCTGCAGAGTCTGTCCATCTCTGGCTTGTCCCACAGCTGCTCATGTTTTCATCCTCCTGGGGCTTGATACACGGCTCGATTTCTCCCCACAATGCTGTCTTCTGCTTTACATAGCATTGTCAACAGAGATTCAAGAGGTTAGTATAATTTGGTAATTGTACAAAATGACTATTATATTATATTATATATATTATATTATCTACATCTACAGGGAAAAGCTAGCATTTTGTCTTTACTGTCACTTTTCACTCTCTTTCTAATTTTTTTAAGTCGTGATGAAAGATTTGGTTTTAAGGAAGAGGTTAAGAGAGTTTAAGCAGACTAAATGACTGGAGAAGTCTTCATCACCAGAGAGACGTCTGTCATTTCACTGATGGGTCGAGACATTTGGACTAAAAAAAATACACATACGCATGGATGAATCATTCACAATAAGACCAATAACAAGTATTTGGTGAATTTCCATTTCATAACTTTACTTAAAGGGGTCATATGATGCTTTTTTAAAGATCATTATTGTGTGTATTTGGTGTAACAAAATATGTTGACATGCTTTAATGTTCAAAAACACTTTATTTTTCAAATACTGTACATTATTGTAGTTCTTCTGTGCCCCGCCTCTCTCAAACACTTAGTTTTCTACAAAGTCCCTCCTTCCGACAAGCGCAGTCTGCTCTGATTGGCCAGCTGACCCAGTGCATTGTGATTGGCCGAACACCACAAGCACGCGTCAGAAATGTAACGCCCCTTACCATAATCGCGAGATTCATCTTTCAAAATAAATGTAAACACAGTAAATAATGTGTTTGATAAAGAATATCTCTTTGGTTTTGAGACTTTAGTCTTTGCAACTTCAGGGATCGTGTCTACACACAATCAGCTTGTAACGCTCCAAAGAGAAAGGAAAACTTGAAATCGCATCATATGACCCCTTTAATAAAGTTCTAGTTGTGTGCTACAACTAACCCAACTCACTAGCTAACTCACATTTTATTTTTTCTCTCTCTCTCAATTACAATAAAATGTTTTCTCTTTTTACCACGTAATCTTCTGTTTTGTTTGTCAGTAAAGGACTATCTTTGTACCCTGTTTAAGTGCATAGTAAAACATTTAAATGTATTTACGTAGCCTGAGTTGGCACAATGCAACATCATTTGTCAGATAGCATGTAATCAAGACCATGCAAAACTGTACTTCTCACCAGGCATGACTTTCATAAACCACTCTTCTGTAGACGGTGATGAGCTGAACACATCTCACCTGTACATCTGCAGAGTCTGTCCATCTCTGGCTTGTCCCACAGCTGCTCATGTTTGCATCCTCCTGGGGCTTGACACACGGCTCGATTTCTCCCCACATTGCTGTCTTCTGCTTCAGATTGCAGTTTTAGCGCTGACTGTTGTTGAAATATTACCGTGATATTTCTGTCTATCGATGTTTTATTCCGCCAAAAACATACCAACGCTAATTCGAAATCATACTAAATGTGTAACTAATACTACAGTAAGACGTTACCATCCTTGGCTATATTTGTAGCAGTGGGATATATAACAGACACTCGTAACACTTAATTAATGTAATCATTTTACATTTGTCCTTTTAATTGTCCTGTATTCAAAACAACAACTCAAGAAAAGGCGTTTTGGTTTTACGTTCTGACCCGTCAGTGTAGCCACTCTTCTTATTCTTCTTCTGGTGTTTTATGGCGGTTTGGCAAATCAGCGAACATGATCTGATAATCTTTTAGCCATTTTTATTTTAAAAGTAGGAATATAAACTGCTGCTGCTGTTCTTCCAGACTCTGGCTCCTTAGACCCATCTGTAAATACCTGTAACACAGAATAATACTCTTGTTTTATATATTGTTGAACTACTACTTCAGTTGGCATGCTCATCTCCGTTTTTTTTATTACTTTGTGAATTTGTAAATCAATTAATGGCATAGGGAACAACCAAGGAGGAATTGCTGGAATAGCAACAGAAGGAGCAATATCAAGGTCTTTCAACTCCAAGCTGTTTGCCTCCTTCCTTACTACCCAACCAAAGGTTGTAATTTCTTTGTATTCATATTCTCAACAATCTTTCAGAATTATTTTAACTGGATGGTTTTCCAGATGTCCCTTTACACCATACCAGTACTTTATTCTCAGCTGAAACCTAGTGTAGCCACTCTATTAGTTCCGTGTGGAACATTTTCAATGCAAATTGAAAGTTCCGTTTATTCAAACGTGTGTAAATTCACCACTGTCCAGTAGGTGGCGACATACGCCAACACTCCGCTATATACAGCTACTGCCTTTGACTAGTCAGAAACCAACAACCAAAAATAATTATTACAGCAACACAGCTTTCGGAATCATCTTTGGGCATCATCATTTTAAAATTAGCTGCATCTTATAACTGAGCATTGAATATCAGGTAAGTAGTGAATAACGCACCAAAAACAATAATAATATTTGTCGCAAAAAAATTCCAGTGTTTCTAATAAATCTGTTATTTTGTCGTGATTTTAAGATACTGTAGTAAGATAAGCAACGCATTTCAGTCACCTCACAGCACTTTAGTGGGGTTTTAGAAAGCTTTTTGGACGAGGTTTATGAGATTTGGTAATTTTGATCCGTTGTGATGCTTGACAGCTTCATCTTACTTTACCTTCGACGACTGGAGAATAGCAGTGTAAACAATTCTTAAAGATGTCATTTTGTTTTCCATAAAGGTGGGGAAAACATACTGATTCACATTCGCATTCATTTTAATGACTCGGCTGGCGCAGGATGCCCCAGAAGTATATAATTCAGAATCTGCCATCTTTAATGATGGGCGCTCAGTTCTGCCACCAAGTTTAATGATTCAGCATCCTGAGACGTAAATACCATAATAATAATAATAATAATAATGACTAAACCCTTCATTAGTGACTGTGCACTCTACTTTAATATGAAATATTTGCAGTCTGCAAAATGTTGCTTACTTCCATTTTACATTTACTTCCATAAGAATACTCAGCCACTTTTGAATAAATTGCAATAAAATAAAATAAAATTAAAGAAAGAAAGATTTTGCCAGATGGTGTAGTTACTACATTTACCTGGGTCTACATCTGGGATCCTGACATTGCATGTCTGCATACAGATGAAATGTGGGAGTGAACAATTCCTTTGTTACTGTGATCATATCTGCTTTTGAGTCAAAGTCTCTACTTGTTTCAGTTGAGAATATTATCTCACAAGCTGTTTATGAGCACTATTTGTTCATATCACACATTTACGCTAAGCTTTATATGCTACAGTCCCTAGGTTCACGGACTCCTGGGCATCAGTATTTTAACCATTCATAAAAGATGAATCACTGTCTGGCCATCTGAGATTTCGGTATGGAGATAAAGTTTAAGCTACACTATTTTAAAGCTGCTGTATGAACTGGCTCTGCTTCTGACCTTATACTCTCACTATCTCTGTTTGTTTGGCCCTCGTTATAAACAAAAGACAAATTGCATCTGATTGAAAGAAAAAACTTTTTTTAGGGACAGTTTAATATATTAAAATAATATTGAACTTCCTTTTGCTGGAAAATGTTTATCTGTAGATGACAGAGAATATCCCTCAGATTAACTGTGGTCATTACAATAAAAGGTAATACAATGTAAAAATAGAATTGTATATAACTTTCCAAACACCACTTCTTTATCAGCCAAGTCATATCAAAACCAAAACAAAAAAAACACACAAAAAATACAGCATTAATAAGTTTGCATTAATAAATAAGTTCTAGTTGCAATAACAAGAGAAACGGACAGAGGAATGACTATCATCATGAAAGCTTGAGGAAAATGCTTTGATTATTTATTGAAGGGTTAAGGACATTAGGCTGCTTAATGGCAAAAGCTCATACTAAAAAAAAAAAAACCGCTAAGAATGTCCATGTGCCCAAAGTGATTGAACACTTTACGCAGATCTGATAACTTTATATACTACTCCATCCATACAGCTCTATCATTTATTCAATAGCAACTTAAAAAACACCTCTCAACAATTCTCTTGCAAAAAAACATGGTTCTAGTACCATAAGATACATGAAACACTGCACACATTTGTCTCAAAGTCCAATATTAAATTGATGTCCGATTATGTTGTCAGAGTACATACTTTTATCGGTTGTAATCATCCATGATTTTTGCTTACAACTAAACCTCTTACACTCATCTCAACATAGACTATCATAAAATATTGCATTAGACAACAATAAGTGAGTTTACTCATTTCTACAAAGAGGAATACCTTGTAATTACATCTCAGTGCAATTAGATATGTCTACAAATGGAAAATATCTGAAAATTGAAATATCAAAAACTTGTAAAACATCCAGATGTTTGTATTTCTAAATCTCTCAAGAACATGCAACTGATTTTCCCTCTCCCATCTTTTGAGGAGAATCATAAATGGAGAAAAAAGTAAATTAGCACAGCGCAAAAGCTGCATCAGCTATTTTAAATCTCAGGTGATCCATTGATGACACTGGATATGTAGTTGTGTGAGTCATATAATTTAAAGAGCAGGATTCGCAGGTGTTGTTTACCTGTGATGTACCAAAAACATCATGGCTTAGTTAAACTATACATAAATCACGTTGATCACTTCTAAAAAAAAACAGTTTTATTAAACAGTTGTCTCATTGTTTCACAAGGGCACAAACCAGCAGTGGCGGCTCGTCGGGGGAGGCACAGCTTCCCCATAATTTTGAGGTGAAAATGGGAGGAGGACGATTTAATGTTAATAAAATTCACAATTCATTTCAGTTCATGTCTCAGAATGTCTATTTTTTGTTTGTAATTTCACAGTTGTAATACCATAACGTGAAAGCGGCGCTTTTCTATTGCGAATGTGCCGAATCTGCTGATGTAATTGCAACCGCTAGGTGATATAGAAGGGTAAGGGGAGAGATGAGCTCTCGTGCCTCCGTTGGTAAAAAGAACCCTTGCAAGGGAGGCTAGCCTCCCTTCTGATATCAACCAATCATCATGACGTAAATTACGTGGTAGTTTGAACATCTGCTGCTGCGCTGATAATGTACCAAGTACTTATGATGAGTAGCGATATTAAATATTTGATCGCCAAAAGATTTACCAAGCTGTCATTCAAACAGTATATATACAAATTTAGGGAAAACAGCCTAAGCTGGATATAGGCTACAGCAGTCGGCTTAATTAAATGGCGCAACAGGCAGCTCTCTTTTAACACAGACTTTTAAGAAGGGATGGATGTTTGCTTCAAGTGATAGGCCAGGTAAGTGAAATTATATTATCTTGCTGTATGTATGTCGTTTTTTTTTACGTTTTCTGACTAAAAGCAACCAAAAAGCCATTTTAAAGTGGTTAAGCAAATAATAATAATAATAATAATAATTGGCAGGGATCCCAGACCAATACAATTAGTGTGCCTCCTCTATTTTAAAACCCACGAGCCGCCACTGCAAACCAGAGGTGCCATTTCAAAGCAGAAAAGATAAAAAAAAAATAGAACAAGCCTTTAAGCTTGGAATACACTACATGATTTTTGCCCCGATTTTCCGTTGATTTACAGTCTGGAGAAGTTGACGCTAATTGTCGAAAGTCAGAGCCAGTCTGCAGATTTGAGTTGACAGATTCCATAGAAAATCGCATAGTGTATCACTGAATATTCGAAAGATGCCACAATCCTGCACAGAACAGCTCAACGGCTCTGTGAGAACCTAGAGTATGGTGAATGACGTCAAGTTGACCGTTCCAAGATGGCAGCCGCATCTACGTGCCTGGAGCCGTCGAATGGGGCATCTATACATACATATCTATGATCGGAACAACTTGAAAGTCTGGTAGTGTGTGATCCTCAGTCATGTAGTGTATGATGGCCAGTTTTCCTTTTTCACTATTTACAAAGTTGGTAAGTGTATGATACCTAGTGTTTTAAATATCTGTTCAGATTTTAAAAGTCATGTAGTGTATTCCAGTCTTTAGTCTTCTGCTTTGACAGTTATAAAGTTTGAACATCAGGAGAAACAGAACAAGGTCACATATACATTTGAATTACTCTGTCCTTCACATGCAACTTGTGCCACAGCCAAGGGCCACAAAATGTTAAAATAGGTTCTGTTGTGGTTAAATTAGGTTATAATGTAGAGTGTAGCAGAAATTGTAATATACATTTTGAGATGAACCTGAGTATGGTAAAGGGTTGTGTATGTGAGATGCACGTTACTGGCTATGCTTGTTTAAAAAGTGAGTAACCTAACTGGGTAAACTTACAGAAACATTTATAGTGTATTGCACTCAGGCTACAGATCATTTGTAGTTTGGTTCTCATTGGATCTATATAATACGACACACCCCGTCCTCCCAATAGAAAAATAAAAATCATCTCAATATCAGTAGGCCTAAACAGACTAGCATTGATCCCACAGCTATTTGATTAAAAAATTTACATTCACAAGAAGACAACAGAAGACAATTCAAATTGATATGTGCAAAAACATTATAGATCTCTATAAAAAATATGTGCATATGAATAGAGCTTGTTTCTCCACTAATACAATATGTTCTCTATTTACACATTATGAGTCAATAAAATACATAACATGTACAGTTCTTATTAGTTCTTTTAATCTGTATACTCTGTCTCTACAGAAAACATTACCAATGCTCATGACAAAGGGAGG